CTAACTGTTTCCCCCTCAAGTCTATCAGTTAAAAATAAGGGATGGTTAAGATGAGATAACCCTTGAGTAGTTTTGTTCCAATATCCAAAAATAAAGAGAATCGTTAGTTTTATTGAGTGATATTTGGAATCCCATCTACGACGTTTGTTTATATGTACGGTGTTCTATTTATTGGAGTTTATATGTACGGTGTTCTACTTGTTGGAGTTTATATGTACGGTGTTCTACTTGTTGGAGTTTATATGTACGGTGTTCTATTTATTGGAGTTTATATGTACGGTGTTCTATTTATTGGAGTTTATATGTACGGTGTTCTACTTGTTGGAGTTTATATGTACGGTGTTCTACTTATTAGAGATTATATGTACAGTGTTCTATTTATTGGAGTTTATATGTACGGTGTTCTACTTGTTGGAGTTTATATGTACGGTGTTCTACTTATTGGAGTTTATATGTACGGTGTTCTACTTATTGGAGATTATATGTACCGTGTTCTACTTATTGGAGATTATATGTACCGTGTTCTACTTATTGGAGTTTATATGTACGATGTTCTACTTATTAGATTTTATATCTACAATAATATACTTACTAGATTTTATATGGACAGTGATATATCAGTTGTATTTTTTATATATATACGTCATATACTCACTAGATTTTATATCTACAAAGATATACTTATAAATGTATAATGATATATTTACTAGATTTCATATGGACAGTGATATATCAGATGTATTTTTTATATATACGTCATATACTTACTAGATTTTATATCTACAAAGATATACTTATAAATGTATAATGATATATACTAGATTTTATATGGACAGTGATATATCAGTTGTATTTTTTATATATATACGTCATATACTCACTAGATTTTATATCTACAAAGATATACTTATAAATGTATAATGATATATTTACTAGATTTCATATGGACAGTGATATATCAGATGTATTTTTTATATATACGTCATATACTTACTAGATTTTATATCTACAAAGATATACTTATAAATGTATAATGATATATTTACTAGATTTTATATGGACAGTGATATATCAGTTGTATTTTTTATATATACGTCATATACTACCATATTTTTTATGTACGATAATATACTGTATTTTCATTCGTATGGTGATATAAGTAATGTGTTTAAATATGCAGTGATATGTTGTCCACTTTTAACTAAACTGTGTTCAAATATGCAGTGATATGTTGTCCACTTTTAACTAAACTGGGTTTAAATATGCAGTAATTATGTTGTCCACTTCTAACTAAACTGGGTTTAAATATGCAGTGATATGTTGTCCACTTTTAAACAAACTGTGTTTAAATATGCAGTGATATGTTATCTACTCTTAACTAAACTGTGTTTAAATATGCAGTAATTATGTTGTCCACTTCTAACTAAACTGTGTTTAAATATGCAGTGATATGTTGTCCACTTTCACTAAACTGTGTTCAAATATGCAGTGATATGTTGTCCACTCCTAACTAAACTGTGTTTAAATATGCAGTGATATGTTGTCCACTTTTAACTAAACTGTGTTTAATTATGCAGTGATATGTTATCTACTCTTAACTAAACTGGGTTTAAACATGCAGTGATATGTTGTCCACTTTTAACTCAACTGTGTTCAAATATGCAGTGATATGTTGTCCACTTTTAACTAAACTGTGTTTAAATATGCAGTGATATGTTATCTACTCTTAACTAAACTGGGTTTAAATATGCAGTGATATGTTGTCCACTTTTAACTAAACTGTGTTCAAATATGCAGTGATATGTTGTCCACTTTTAACTAAACTGTGTTTAAATATGCAGTGATATGTTATCTACTCTTAACTAAACAGGGTTTAAATATGCAGTGATATGTTGTCCACTTTTAACTCAACTGTGTTTAAATGTGCAGTGATATGTTGTCCACTTTTAACTAAACTGTGTTCAAATATGCAGTGATATGTTGTCCACTTTTAAACAAACTGTGTTTAAATATGCAGTGATATGTTATCTACTCTTAACTAAACTGGGTTTAAATATGCAGTGATATGTTGTCCACTTTTAACTAAACTGGGTTTAAATATGCAGTGATATGTTGTCCACTTTTAACTAAACTGTGTTTAAATATGCAGTGATATGTTATCTACTCTTAACTAAACTGTGTTTAAATGTGCAGTAATTATGTTGTCCACTTTTAACTGAGATTTTTGAATACTCTTCTGATGTACCTCATTTGGTCCTCGTGACATATCAGAATTTCAGTGTTTTACACCATTTGGTCCTCGTCAAATATCACAGTTTAAATATTTCACACCCTTTGATTTTCGTCAAATATCACAGTTTGAATATTTCACACCCTTTGATTTTCGTCAAATATCACAGTTTGAATATTTCACACCCTTTGATCCTCGTCAAATATCACAGTTTGAATATTTCACACCCTTTGATTTTCGTCAAATATCACAGTTTGAATATTTCACACCCTTTGATTTTCGTCAAATATCACAGTTTGAATATTTCACACCCTTTGATTTTCGTCAAATATCACAGTTTGAATATTTCACACCCTTTGATTTTCGTCAAATATCACAGTTTGAATATTTCACACCCTTTGATCCTCGTCAAATATCACAGTTTGAATATTTCACACCATTTGATCCTCGTCAAATCTCACAGTTTGAGAGTTTTACATTCAAATAGTGACAAAAGAGACTATTGTAAAGACGATCATCTGACTGTCAACTAACACTTCGGTATAATTAACTGTGCTTTCAGTTCTGATAGTGAATGATAAAACAGTACTAACCAATTTGTTGACATTAACCTGTTATTCAGTAGCAGTACAGTAGAGTTGTGAGTTGGGAACTACTCAAATTTCTCGATGATGTTTTCACTCTAAACACATAGAGAAATAATTTAATGAATTAAGTACTCGATGTAAACAAATCATATACCGAGGTAAATACAGTTTAATACGTTTTAATTACAATACATAAGTTCAAACATTACAAGAGACGACAAAGCATATTGTATCGTACAAACACTGATAAGGGTGTCTGGTGACCACTTTCTACAGGACTAGTTCAGTTCAAATTCATGTGATTATGTATTGTGTTAAGGCCAACGCAGGTACAGGTTAGAATAGTTCCATTAATATGAAAGTAACAATAGTATGTTAACGTGTTGTGTCCTGCTCTATACTATTTAAAGATAACAGTTTGACGGTTCTACACATTACGTTAACAAGATAATGTAATGTGTAGAACCACCAAACTGTTATCTTTAAATAGTATAGAGTAGTAGACAGCAAGCTGTCTACTACTCTATACTATTTAAAGATAACAGTTTGACGGTTCTACACATTACGTTAACTTGTTGTCTACTACTCTATACTATTTAAAAATAACAGTTTGACGATTCTACACATTATCTTGCTGTCTACTACTCTATACTATTTAAAGATAACAGTTTGACGGTTCTACACATTACATTATCTTGCTGTCTACTACTCTATACTATTTAAAGATAACAGTTTGACGGTTCTACACATTACGTTATCTTGCTGTCTACTACTCTATACTATTTAAAGATAACAGTTTGACGGTTCTACACATTACATTATCTTGCTGTCTACTACTCTATACTATTTAAAGATAACAGTTTGGTGGTTCTACACATTACATTATCTTGCTGTCTACTACTCTATACTATTTAAATATAACAGTTTGGTGTTTCTACACATTACATTATCTTGCTGTCTACTACTCTATACTATTTAAAGACAACAGTTTGGTGGTTCTACACATTACGTTAACTTGTTGTATCCTATTTAAAGATGTGGTGGTTTTTAGAACCACACCCATGTTAGTGTGTGGGTTGTGTTGGGTTTGTTATCATTAGCAGCTTATAAATTTCTCCCTTTTCCCCTTCAACTCACAAGAACACTCGAAGCATTTTCGCTCTTACTGGGTGGAAACCAATAAAATATGTTTTTGAGCATCTCATTCGTTGGGATACCCATGCTCCCCCAACCCCCTCAGGTAGGATTTTGACAAGTGTGTAAAGGGATAATGTGGTTTTTAGCCCTTCAGAGGAAAAGTAATCTTCAAGTTAAAGCGATGTAAGTTGTACTTAAAAAATCAGATTTAAATACAGTGTAGTCTGTGAAGTCTAAGAACATCAAACATACTTAAAATACCTGAATTTCTGTGGAGATAAAGTACATTTATATATATATCAATACTTCATTCAAGTACGAAGTACGTTTATACACATGAATACTTCATTCAAGTACGAAGTACGTTTATATACATGAATGCTTCATTCAAGTACCAAGTACGTTTATATACATGAATGCTTCATTCAAGTACGTAGTACGTTTATATACAGAAATGCTTCATTCAAGTACCAAGTACGTTTATATACATGAATGCTTCATTCAAGTACGTAGTACGTTTATATACAGAAATGCTTCATTCAAGTACCCAGTACGTTTATATACATGAATGCTTCATTCAAGTACGTAGTACGTTTATATACAGAAATACTTCATTCAAGTACGAAGTACGTTTATATACATGAATACTTCATTCAAGTACGTAGTACGTTTATATATCAATACTTCATTCAAGTACGAAGTACGTTTATATACATGAATGCTTCATTCAAGTACGTAGTACGTTTATATACCAATACTTCATTCAAGTACGTAGTACGTTTATATACCAATACTTCATTCAAGTACGTAGTACGTTTATATATCAATACTTCATTCAAGTACGAAGTACGTTTATATAAATGAATACTTCATTCAAGTACCAAGTACGTTTATATACATGAATGCTTCATTCAAGTACGAAGTACGTTTATATACACGAATACTTCATTCAAGTACGTTTAAACAGATTCGAGAGTATTTGTACGTGAGTTTGGGTCAGTATCTCGTATTTTACTGAGTGCGTGTGTGGTTTTGTTTTATTCGAGTTGTTATTATTTTTTTCCACTAGGCGGATGTTTCCTCCATTTAAAGCAAGGATTTCGGGCCTCGATAAGCAGGCCAAGTATATTATGTTAATGGACATCGTAGCCGCTGACGATTGTAGATACAAGTTCCACAATGGGCGGTGGGTAGTGGCCGGCAAAGCTGACCCCGAGATGCCTAAACGAATGTACATCCATCCAGACTCTCCAAGTACGGGGGAACAGTGGATGCAGAAAGTGGTGTCCTTCCACAAACTGAAACTGACCAACAACATCTCGGACAAACACGGATACGTAAGTGGAACTTTAAGGCCAAGACTATGTAGAATAATAAGAATCTATAACAATATACGAGCCACTCTATATTTACTATATCTGATGCGGGCGAGGCCTTTCGCTCGATATCATAGATCATCAAGCTGGGTTGGAATATGAATAATTATTGGATGTATCTTATTTGGTATATCTTAATAGGTATATATGTATATCGCTTATATCTTATTACTGATTTTATAATTTGGTATATATGTATATCGCTTATATCTTATTGTTGAGTTTATAATTTGGTATATATGTATATCGCTTATATCTTATTATTGAGTTTATAATTTGATATATATGTATATCGCGTATATCTTATTATTGAGTTTATAATTTGGTATATAGGTATATCGCTTATATCTTATTATTGAGTTTATAATTTAAAGCGCGAGTGTTTGGTTGCTTCTTGTGTTTAATACAGTCTTGTCCAAAATGTTTACATACTGTTCTATATTGATATTATTGTCTCCATGCATGGAGTAGTTATTGAGTAAATACCCGAGTAGTAACAGAGAAGGTAGCGTATGATCGGACAAACATGTACGAGTTGTTATTCTGGTCTGTATAAGTTGTATTGTTAGTCAAAACACACATATACACCTGTTTTGTATAAAAGGGTGTGATTTTGGTATAACCGTTTTCGAAACAGATCAATGCTTTGTTCAGATAATTTCTCTGTACTTGGTGTAGAGTCATACCTCGTCACGTGCCAGAAGTTGTAGAGCGTCAAATTGTTCAACTGTCCAGAAATGGTATGCAGCAAACGGAAATTACCAGACCATTATGGTACCCCCAGTGTACTGTATCCAGAATCCTGAAACGTCATCGGGCTACAGGAAACGTTGTTCCAGGAAATTCTACTGGTAGACGCTGAATAATTACTGCCTGAGATGACCGGGTTTTGATGAGGTTAACACGTGAAGGTCGAAAGACGTTTTGCAACACCTTAGGATAGAAATGGCATGAACACATTCATTCCAGGCTATCCAGAAGAACAGTGAATAGGAGACTGAACAAACAAGGTTATTTTGCAAGAAGGGCTATCTGCAAACCGATATTAACAAGAATTCACTTGAGCAAGACAGCATGCCAACTTACAGTTAAGACACTGGCGACATGTCATCTTTTCAGATAAGTCCTGTTTCCGGCTTGTTAAAGCTGATGTTAGGATTCTTGTTCGTCGTTTCTCTGGAGAACAGATGAGGGAAGACTGATTTTCCCACAGGAGGTGGTGCAGTACATGTTTGGGCAGCTATTCATCATAGTGGAAAAATTGCTCTTCATATCCTCCAGGTAAACATCAACGGCGCTTCCTACGGGCATCACATGGAGGAGATATTTTTGCCATATGCTAGGGCAAGGTTTGGCAATAACTTTATGTTCCAGGATGACAATGCCACTGCCCACAGTGCGCGTATTGTACAGTATTATCTCGACCAGGAGAACATTACAAAATATCCATGGTCAGCAAAGTCTCCAGATTGTAATCCCACTGAGAACTGTTGGGCAGAAATGAGTCGGAAAATTGCTAACCACGACCCTAAACCAGCTATTGTAGCCGAGTTGCAATGCCTTCTAGTGACAAGTTAAGATAAAATCACTGTGGATTACATCGACAACCTTATTGACTGCATGCCGCGTCGCCTTGCGGAGGTTATTAAATTACGAGGAGGATCAACCAAGTACTGAGTGTTTTATTTGAGTTTATATGAGGCCACAGACGCTATTTATAATAATATTATGTTATATTTTGTCATTATATATGTTTTGGTAAGGGTTTGTTGTGATAGGTGAAATGTTGAATTACACACACATCTACAGATGTCTGACAAAATTGCTTGCTGTTCTAATACATTGTTCACGATGTCTATAGAACCTGTCTTATTATACAACGTATATATGTAGATGTTTAATATAACATGCATTTCTCAGTTTGACAGCGCTAAGTGTATTTGTATTCCATCTTAAAATAACGATTTTTATTTGTTA